CTCCTCATCCACATCTCTTGGCCAAGATTCATTTTGGTTTCATTATTCAAAAATTTTAACCAGATGTTTCCCAGTAACTACTGTGTTCAGAAATAAGATCCATTCACAAATTATAAATATTATTAAAAACGAGGGCAAAAAAACCAGTAATTTCCACCTTTACAACTCATAAAAGATCAGCCAGGCATGATCGTGCATGCCTGGAATCCTAGCACTCAGAAGGCTGAGACAAAAGTATTCCTGTGAGTTTGAGGCTGGTGTGGAATATAGAATGAGTTCTGGGGCAATCCTGGCTATCATGTGATAGCCTGTCTCAGACAAAAATAAAAGAAAACAAAACAAAATAGAAACATAATAAAATGACATCTCCTGCCAATACACTGCTCTTTGTCCTTTAAAACATGCAGAATACCATGATCACCTTCTTACACTCTTAAGAACTGTTTAGGAAACTGGTCCCAAAAGGCTGTGTGACATATGGCTTATGTAAGTGCACACAGTTGTATGTAGTATGACAAGGTATTTACATTCTTCACATGCAGTTCTCCTGTACTAAATCACTATGTGCTCAAACTCAGAAATCGATGTTAGTCCTCAACCCTTCCTAAGTATCTGTCACACCTAATCCAAATGCTCTCATTGTCTTTTTGTTTGGTGCAATAGTCATAGAAAAGGTGATGGAACTCAATGCATAGGTTTTAAAAAAGTCAGAATGTAAGAAGTGTGGCAAGAGGTAAGTCTACATTTGATTTCAAGTTGAACGGTTGACTCATTTGGGCAGAAGTCATGGGTGATCCACTGACTGTCAGTCCTGATGCCTGTTTTAATTCATGATCGTACCTGACATTTTTGGTCTGGGACATCACTGAGAACTCTTCTTTTTCTTCCTTTTTTCACTTTTTTTTCTTGTTCTCTTTTCTTCTTCCCTCTCTTCTTCTTCGTTTCTTTCCTCTCCATTCTGTTTTAGCCTGCATCAGGCTCCCAAGTACTAAGATTACAGGCACGTGTTACCACCCCAGCAACTGCTTTCTTCTTACAAGGTCATTAACTTGGCTTGTATACTTCTCTCCATTTTTCTACCAAGTTGTCAGTTTTTTCTCAATTGTGTTTGAAAACATTTATGTCTTCCTTAAATGTTATTGTCCCTCAAGATTCTGGGCTTCCTCTTGCCTACAAAACTTTCTGAGCAAGGCCTCAGATGCTTCCATGACTCAGGAGCCACTGATAAAGTGATGATTTTTCAATTCATGAGTTTTGACACTATAGAGCCCAAGTTTCATGTTTTTTAAGTAACTGATATGCTGGCATATTTAGGAGCCACATCAAGTTCAGCATGTCCAGATATTAAAGTCTATTCTGCTTCCTGTCTCCTAACCTTTTCTGTATTTTCTAGACCCATGATGTACCTTCTACAAATCATGATTACAAAGAGCATAGGAGTAATTATCTGTAAGACAAACATCATCTGAGATGACCTTGTCTTTCTCAAATATTATGTGAAGTAAGTATCCTCTCTGAGATTAAAAAAAAAAAAGGAACAAGTAAAATGCATTAAGAATTCAGGTCCTTGGTATTGACGGTTACAGCATTACACAGTATAGATACAGAACATGACCATGATCCTAGAAAATCACGCTGAGTAATAGTATCCTGTACTGACTTACCAGTAAAATAACCACCACTTAAGACCTTTTGGATATGTACAAATAGGCTCTATTAGAAATAACTCCTGAACATAACTTCGTATCTTCATTATGTTGAATACAACAGGCCCCCAAATCACAAATATTTTTCAATCCAGATTCATTCTTCAAACTGTGGCAAAATATATTCAATTCGTTCCTCTGTACCCCAAATATTTAATAACTTTTAATTGTCTACATGATAGAGTTCTCACTTATTAACATGGAAACAAGACTTCTTGTCACCCTGTTTCATCTCTACTCTCAAAATGCACTGCCCCCGCCATATAACTTGATACAAGATTTCATTATTCTGTGAACAAATTCTACCCAGTCAAATATTGTAAGAAGGCTTGGCCTCACTTTCTCTATGTAGCATGGTCAGGTTCTGCTTACACGATTCAATTCAGTCATGCCCTTCATACGATATTTTCAAAGTTCACTTATGTCTTATAGTTCTCACCACCTATTATCATATTATTTTATGAAAATCTTTTATATGTATATTATCCTCAGTGTACTTTGAGGTTTTTAAAAAGTAGGACAATGAATCTGTTTATTTTGCTGCTATTGTTGAAATAGTGAAGAAAGAAATATATGAGTCGGTTACAGCACTGAATACATCTGCCCTTCTAGAACAATCGTAAAATATGTTTTGTGTGAAAGTTAGTAGTCTATTGCCAAAACTTCTTTCCCACCAATCATTCTATGCCACATTGGTTAAAAAAAGAAAAAAAATCAACAAATTATCCAAGTCAATATAATATCTTTTTTTTCTTGTTTTTAGTTTAGTAGCCTAAGAAGTAGCAATCTCTTAAATTGTCAACAGTTTTTCTTTGTGCAAAAGTATTAGTTAGAAATGAAAGCAAACAACAGCGAGAACAAACTCTTTGTGCTTCTAAATATGGGCTGTGGGAAAACACTGGCAGATCAAGCAGAATAAAGGCTCTCATGTTATTAGAAAAAAATCTTCATAAAGTCAGAAAGGCACACACAGCTTACTCTTAATCTATTAGGATATCTTCTTTCTTGAATATTTTCTCAAAAGTATAAAACTCAATTTTGTCTCATAATATGGACATTCCTTTTGATATTATTTATCATAGTAAAAAAAATTAAGATGACAGTTTGAAAGTAAAGACAATAAACAACAAAGAAGAATAAATTTCAAATATCAGAAAACCCTTTTTGTGAAAAATCATACAATAAAAATAGTAGATATGAGATGGATGTGCTTTAATTAATTTGCAAAAAACAAATTTAGAGCCAGATATCACTAATATTTGACAAATGAATCACTGCTATAATGAATAATTCTGAAGATGCTACTAAGTTAACAGAGTGATTAAGAGGCACACTGGGTAAAAGGAGGCTCTTTTTCTTTAAACATGTCTGTCATGTCTTTATTTGATATAACAGGTTTCTATCTAAGAAAAATAGGATGACAGACTCCTACTGTGTGGTCTCAGATTTTTTTTGAGTAGGGAAGATTCATTAAGTGTAATGTGTCTACATTCTCAGTTTTGTAGGAGTTTATTTATAGTTTAAAAAGAGTATTTCATGGCTTATTCTTAAAGTCTAAGCTTCAATATAGAAATTTAAATGTAAGTCAAATTTTAAGATAGTGACATAAATTTAAGATTAATTTACACAAGAATAAAATCATTACATTGCTACAAATAAATTTCTATTAAATGGATTAGATCCATCAAGAAATAAGCCACGTTGGGGCTGGAGAGATGGCTCAGCAGGTAAGAGCCCTGGTAGTTCTTGCAGAGGACCCAAGTTCGAATCCCAGCACCCACATGGCAGCTAACAACTCTGTAACTCCAGTTACAAGGGATCTGATGCCCTCTTCTGACCTCTGCAGGCATTGCACAACATGGGTGCACTTACATACATGTAGGCAATACACTCATACACACAAAATAAAGGATAATAAATAAAATATTTTAAAAAGAAATAAGCAATGTAATGCCTCACAAATAGCACACTTCGTTATACGTTTTTTAAAAAAAAAACTCATGAAATGAATCTATTGGTGGTAAATCCCTTTCAATGTTTTTAAAGTGGCTCTTTTACACAAACAGTGTCGACCCGTGCACAGCTTCTCAGGGTCAGCATCCTTTTTTTTATGGGGCATGCTTCAGTACACCAACATACTAAGTCTATTCCAGTACTACTCATTCATCCCTAGGCAAGAGGCTTTAAGAGAAAGACTATGAACTCCTGGACTCTGAAAAAATGAGAATGATTTTTAGAGACTCTATCCCTTGTGTGGTTGAGGGGATCAGTGGGAGACAGCAGTATTGGGTAGGACAGTAGGTCACAAGTTGGGCTCACAAGTTGGCCTCATTCAAAGTGTGTTTTTTCATTAGCGATTTCAAGTGTGGTGATGATTTGTATTTCTGTCCCTCGAAATGTAACCTAAGGGCACAGACCAAAACAAAAAGTGATAGGCTCAAATGGAAGAAAATGAAAAGTTTGTATAAGACCAAGGAAAGATTCCTGCAGAGGGTATTTATTAACCTAGAAGCTCTTGCTTGTAATAACTGAGTTCCTGCTGAAAGTATCTGTCTTCTTAGGAAATATTATTTCAGTGGAGGCATATCCAAGCAAGAATATATAAATAAAAAGCAGTGTTCCAGTGCATTACTTGATGGAACAAAATGTAAATGTCTCAGATATCTAATGAGTTTACCACAATTTACATAAAATGTCACTATTCGAAACTAATTGCAATGTTCTTTAAAATAGACATTTTGTGTTTTGAGGTTACTTTTCCTTTTTCATTTCGCTCAGAACTTCATCAGTGTTAATGGTATAGGAAACATTCAATAGAGTAACTTAAAACTATATTTTAAATTCATTTGGCCCAAAAAAATACATAATTATTAAATGTGTGATGTGTTTTAATGAAAATACAGAATATGCTTTTTTTAGTGTTTCAGGTACTCCAGGGGATTATTCAGTTTTAAGATAATACTGTTTAACATTACATGAAAACAGCCTGCTTCCCCAGCCCCTGTCTTAGGGATCAGGACAGAGTGATCTTACTGACAATAGCAGGAACTGTTAGAAAGACAAGGATAGAATGCAAAAGATGTGCAGCACCAGGGCACTGGATAATAACTTCATTATTTGAAATTGTGACATTTTTGCTTTCACTACTTGGTCTCAAAAATTCCATGCATAAGACAGTATGAATCTGTCTAACATCTTTATGAATAATGGATATTTTCTTTGTTAGAACATTGCAAGATTAATTTTCATGTATAGATGCACAGTCCTTAAGAAAAGTAAATTGATATATCTTGCCTTACAAACTCTTCCAACTCTTGAAAGAATGCTCTTATCAGAAGTACTGCCTTCCTGGGATGATTCTCGAAAGAAGAAATAGATTTTATCATCATCTGGATTATAGGTGTCTGGTATGGGGAAAGTTCCAATAAATTTTGCTCCTGTTTGAAAAAAAAAAGTTACAATTTTAAACAATGAAATAATCTAGCCATAATAGTGTTGACAACTTTTGTTGTTGAAACAACTGGGAACAGAATTTAAAAAGGGATCCATGAGTCGAATGTGGAAAGCAAGATATATAGAAAAACATGTGATAATATGTGCCCTATAGAGAAGGACTGAACAGAGAGTTGGAGAGAATATGGCTGTGTGATACAATTGCCAGATATTGCCATGAAACCAGTCATAGGTCATGTAATCAAAAACATATAATCTAAGAGAAGCATTGTTAGGCAGTTTCCTCATTACTATGTGAGCATGACAGAATCTAATTACCCAATGAACAGATGTTCCTGATATCATTGGGCAATATAATCCTATGAGATCACAATGTTATATAGCACATATAGTGTGTTGTTGACTAAAATGTTCAGGTGACTTGACTGCTTGACTGTACCTTTTCACTTCTGGAAAATCTATGCTTGCATATTCTCTTCTGTGATGGAACTACTGCTTTTAAATGACAGTGTATTTTATAATGCACTTGTTAAAAGTTTTACACATTAAAATTATATGAACTATTATCTGATGAATTTTTGTGAAATTGCTCAGAGATGGGATGAAAATGACCAAAAACATCTTTTGGGTCTTCATATACCCTGAAGACATTTTTCTGGGTTTATATTTGTCTCTACCATATATTTAAGAACTGATCTTAGGCAATTTTCTACAGTTGATCATATCAAAAGGTCAAGAAGCTATCCATGTCCTAGTTTTCTTACATATAATGTGATGATCCAAATGTCGTCTCTCTAGTAGTATTGAATAGTAGTATTGAACATATAAAGCACTTAGCACCTGGTAATGCCTATCATATAAAAGGCATTCAATACATGTGATTTATACTCAGGCCTGGTGGCACAGGAATATAATATCAGGTACTCTTGATGCTAAGCAGGAAGATGACAAGTTCAAAGCTACAGTATCAGTTTAAGGCAGCAAACACAACTTAGTAAGATTCAGTCACAAAAATAGAAAATAGAGAAAGGGGCTGGGAAGCAGCTCAGTAGAACAGTTTCCTAGATTGAATGAAGCCCTGGATTACATCCCCATTACTACATACATGCATAAAGGAAACTTATAAAATAAGTTTTAAAAATGTGATTTATTAAGATGATGATGATGATGATGATGATGGTTTCCCTGATTGTGTATAATCAGACTGGTAAAAGCTGAGTACATCATGTATTTAGAATAATAATATATAGCTATTCAAAAATTAACTAAGCCTGTCCTAAAACATTCCTAATATATGGCGAGTGAGACAGAATTTGCAATATAAAATTAATAACCTCTTTGCATTTCATCAATGGAAAAATCAAATGTCAAACATCTTATTTAAAAAAAAATCATTGGGCATGGGCTGCAGAGATGGCTCAGCAGTTAATAGCGCTGGCTACTCTTGCAGAGGATCTGGGTTTGACTCTCAGGAGCAACATGATGGCTAACAACCATCTGTAACTCCAGTGTCAGGGGATCTGATACCCTCTTCTGTCCTCTAGAGGCACTGCATGACATGGGTGTACTTACATAGATGCAGGCATAAAATTCATACACAAAAAATAAAAATAAAATAATAAAAAAAATTGGGCATTCTAAGTCTTGGCTTTATGAAATTTTAAGTTAGTCAGATCACAAATCTGTACTCAATTGATACTCGTCCAGAAATAATGGGTTTTTAAAAGCAAGGAAGATAGGGAGAAAAGCTTTTGAAGAATGAAGGAAGGTGGTTAATATGTAAAATATATGAGGCGCTTGGAAGGAAGCACAATGCAGTAGTATTTTGGAAGCAAGAGAAAAGTAGGCAAAACCTTGCAACATAATAATGAAAATGATGGGAAATGTAAAAGATTAACATTATCCTGTAAAGTTTTTGCCTAGTGTCATGATTGTTATGAATCTCGGGAGCACTGAAAATCATTCGCCTAGAAAACGTGCAGCACTTGACCAAAAGTCCCATAAAGAAAACTTCATAAAAGCCTTCCTAAGTGGACAGAAATTAACCTTGGCTTTCAAGTGATCAGCCGGGCATGGGATGCACACCTATACTCTCAACACTTAAGTGGTGGAGACACGTGGATCAGGAATACAAGACCAACTTTGGCCTTATGAAATCCTGGCTAAAAACAAGACAAAACCACACACACACACACACACACACACACACACGCACACACACACACTCAAACTGATGGTAAGTAAAGGTGGTTTGGTCATCATCAGCCCAGTCTCTTCTGGTCAGTCCTCAGTCTTCCATTTTGTTTCTGCTCTGCTTAAATGTAAAGCCTTAAGAGGGAAAGAGAGGAGGAAAATGTCTGCACAAACTTCTTTTTATTCTTCGTTATGTTCCCATGGACCCTCATACTACTGATGATCTCACTTTGATAGAGACTTAGAAAATTACCTGAAAAATAATTTTTAGTAAAACACATAGGACCTTGAAAACTTGCATTTTTGATCCTATCTTAAATTGACAAGACTCATTCACATTTCCATTCAGAGTTTTGGTCTCCCCACTCCAAGCCCCAAGTTCAAGTTGCTGATAAATCACAAACTAAAAAATCCCCTTTACTGACAAATTATCCTTCTAACTTTTTATTTATATATGTTTTCTTAATGGAAGAATATAGTCAGGTATGTTTGAGAATGCCTTTAATCCTGACTGAGGAGATGGAGTTGATGAGCATCCTTGCCTATATAGCAAGTTTTAGGCCAGCTTCTGTTACAGAAGACCCTGTTTCAAACAAACAACAAACAATAAACAGGTAAAAGAAAATAGCATAGTAAAATTTTTATATATGTGGGATTTGTATTTCAGCAATTTAATGAAAATAAATAATTACCAATAAAGTCAAGAACTGATAGGATTAAAGAATATTTAAATTAATAAGAACTGACTTTAATTTTAATCTGGAGCAAGGGAATATTGGCATGTGTCCACATACGGCTAAAAAAGCCAGCTCTGATCTTCCAGATGCCTAGAAAGGAGTGTCACTGAGAAAAACGATAGGCACCAGAGCATTCCCACAGACATCAGACTGCAGATTGAGAATGATGCAGAAATGCTTGAAATTAACAGTCTCTAATGCAAAGCTGCCAAACTGGATAAGAATCTCTAGTTGTATTTTAAACATATGCATGATTAGAAAAATAATAAAACCCTATATGAGATGCTTATGACCAATTAAGGTTAGGAACCCTTAATATGGAAATTATCACTATATATATGGAGAAAATTAGGTGGTTAGACTTACACTTATTAACCCATGGCCAATGCTGTAGATGTACAGTTGGATGAGGAAGGGAAGAGAGAAAAAGATATATAAATTATTTTTCTTTAAATTTTAAAAAAATTATATTTATGTGTATGAGTGTTAGGTCCGCATGTGTGTAAGTACACCCATGTTATGCAGAGATACCCCTGAAATATAAATTCTTTAGTCATCAAAATGAGTTCAAAATAGGCTAAGACAAATTATGCAGAAATTAAAGGACTAAGACTGGTCCTCCTTGTTGGAAAAATTCATAAGCTTAACACAGACACTAACATGAGTGGTCTATATCACAGTACTTAATGTCACTCATGCAACATCATGATTCTTGCTGATCTTTTCATAGTCTTTTCAGGTCTATGTAACTGACATAAATTTATAATTTTAACATGAAGTTGCAGAACATGTATAAAATGGCATGAAAGTTTCAGTGTTTTCTCTAGAAAGAAAATGAGGACTCACTGATTTGCACTACAAAAGCACCAAGTAACAAGTGATCAGTGTGAGGGGGGAAATTTGCTTGTCAAACTTCCTTCAAGCTGCACATGGTGGCTCAAGCTTGTAATATCAGTACTTGGGGAATGGCACAGGAGTATTCTATGAATTCAAGACCAGTCTAGGCCACATAGTGAGTGCTAGGCCAGCCTAGATTACAAAGAGAGTTCCTGTCTCAAAAGAACAAAACCAACCAAACAAACAAAAAACAAAACTCTTCTATCAGACAAGTGTTTATCTGAGCGGATTTGGGCTGATTGGTCTTTACATTGTTCACACAAAGGAAGCAAGAGTCTAAAGCAGTGCAGACTCTACAAGCCCTAAAGAAATACAGACACACCAGGCACTGTGCGGCCATAGTGCAGCTATGCGCAGGGCTCTTTGAAGCTGAAAATCATCATATAGCTGCTGTTGGCACCACTTGAAATGGGCAAAAGGTAGAGTGTGACACCAGCCCACAGTTTAGGAATTTTATTATGATACCAACAGAAGAAACTGCTATAGTGTTCCTAACTGTACTCCTCTTAACTTCCAGATAAAATGTAACATACAGCATATATGATGTTGTGTTTTCACTGCTGATTTTACTGAACACTTAAATATTGGATCTTTGTAAGTCTTGTAAGAAAATTTTTTTGAGGGGAATGGTGGGAATGTCTAAGCCAAATGTTTATTATATTAAGAGATCTAATTATGGGGGAAAAGAATATCAAATAGTACTCTGTTCTGTGTTTTAAACAATAAGTCTACTTATGAGCTAAAAATAAATTCAAGTTTTGGGAATAGAGAGTTTCTTTCTTGTAGATTACACTGAAGCCCTGTCTTGGAACACTGATGTTAGTATTTTATGATAGAAACACTTTGCCAATTTGCTGCCAAATTTGGGTAAAAATAGCTATTGTTTAATTAGTGCATAGTTGTTGAGTTGAACAATTTAAAGTCATACCAGCAGACACCTGGGCTTTATTATAGTACATTTCTTCCCATTTGGTATTTGAAACACATGTCCTAATAGGGATGAAGTTTGAAATTATGCATTTTCACAAATGAACTTCTATCTTGATACCATGAGCCATTGCCAAGTGAAGATGGCATAAACCTGCAGGACACAACAGTTTCCTCTATCCTGTCTATCTCATTTCAACAGGACGAGCACACCTGGTCTGTGACTTAAA